CCCCCCCTCCCCCTTGGAATTTCCATTAACCTTCCTTGGGGTGGAAATGGATATTTTCTGGAACTGCACATTGTTTCCTACACTCTAACTATCCATGTTTTGTTTTCAGGGTCATCAATATTTACTGTAGCTGCAATTCAGCTATGCAAGGATGAGGAGTAAAAGGTCAGTGACTAATCTCATGTTAACTGTAAGGCTAATTGCAGCACCAAATGGGTAACTGTCTACTGTAGTGTGATTTTTGTCCTTTTGAGTTTTGAGGTTTTTTGGAAAAAAAAGAAATTATTCCTTATTTGTCGGGTCTGGGCTATGTTAATGGGTGGAGGAGTGAGTGAGAGGTTATGTATATCACGCCAGTCAGATTGGGGCTACTATGCACAACCAATCAAATTTCCTCTTGTATAGGTGAAACGTGAGTGTGAATATTTCATCCTGATTTTAGAATGGCCATCTTTGATTTTCTTAAAACAGGAACAGGTTTTCTTGTAGTTTCCTTATTTTGAAATTTGGAATGCTGCATTTCACTGTAGTTAAGTCCAGGACTTTGTGGGTGGGTCTCAGAATAATTCTGAATTTGATAATCAGTTGAGGAATCAAAGTCTTTGGTTGCCTGCGAGCAGGCTCATGTTGGAGCACAAGTGCGAGCTGCAAGTGCAGAAATGAGCAGCGAAGCGAAGGGATGAAGCTGCGAAGCCAAGGTGCAATCAAGACTATACTTTGCATTACTTGTAATTTTGAATGTTATGAGTCTTATACTGCAGAATGCAGTATTGGGATGGTGAAGGAACTTTTGTCGATGATGGTATCTACCAGGTTTCAATCAATATCGTTTCTATTATGTGCAGCTCATGAGAAAAAAGGACAGTACCAACTAATAAAACAAAAACTAACGTCTTTTCAGGAGCTTATAGGACTATTTGGAAAAATAGATCTTTTAGCAAGGGCTATTGGAATCCAGAAAGAAAACTGGGGGTAGCCTGACATATTTTCAGAGGTTATGCAGGATCTCTCATAAAGTGGCAAAA